CGGTAAGTATGATTATTTTTAATTTTTACGTATGTTATATTTATTTATGTTATGTACTTTAAAATCAAAGAAACGATTGCCATACATTACTAACATCTACAGATGCATGAGCAATACATTTATTTTTATTAGATTGTATTAAAAAAGTCTCTTTTATTTTTCTTTTAGAGGCTATCCCTTCTTTCATTATAATTTTGTCGTTATTAAAATTTTTTCTGTGCCCTGTGTCCCATGAATGCTGACAAATCTTAGATTTGTGAAAATCTCCCTTTTTTAAATAATCTTTATGATCTTTAATTCGAACATTTAAGGGTCTAGATATTTCACCAATGTAAAATTTATCGCATTCACATGGTATTTTGTAAATTACATTTTTTGTTTGTTGTTCTGTATTCATTGGTTTAGTATGTGTGATAAAACGGATCTAAGTGTATTTTGTGTCTTGAAAGATGTTCGTATGTTACATATATTGTTTTCCTATCCTTATTTTTTCCGAAACGCCTCGTATGTATGGAATTGTAATTACATATTGTGTTTGGGGATTTGGGGTTTGTATTTCCTTTAATGTTTCTTTTAGGACGTACATTTATAGGAACTTTTTTACTTCTTTTTATCTGCAGAAAATGCTGCCGAAGTTTCCGGAATACAGTCTGGACCACCCTGTATACACTTATACGCAAGTAATAAATAATTTTATGGAAAATGGCTGTGAAAATACTATCATATTATATTATTTCTCCTTTATTTTATTTCATTGTTTCTAGACGGTAGTAAATTGTAATAATACTTGTTTACATTTTTTTTATCCGGCAAAATCACTAGTTCATCACGCCGGCTCCAAATGGTCTGTCTGGTCTTTTCTAAATTCAATGACGTCAAACAATCGACCTCACCGGAATTTTTGTGGCCTTTTACGCAATTTATAATACGCTAATTTATCAAAACATGACTTAAGGGTGAATCCACTTATTTCCAATCCGATTTAATCTCAAATAACAAATTTCTTTCGAAATTTTTTCAGTTTAATTCGATTAGAAAATTATAGTTGTTTTAGAATAACTAATTTTACGAATAACTAAACTTTTATTGCCAAAAATGGTTATACCGGGTGCGCCACAAAAGTGGCTCAGCCCTATAACTTTTATATTTTTTCTGGTAAAAAATAGTATATTGTTTTATTAGGAATAAAAACCGTAGTGCGTTTGACGACATACAGGCGAGGCACAAAAATCATTTTTACTCCGAATATATAAATTTTACAGAGAATAGAACATGCTATTTTTTCTCAAACGGTACAAATAATTTTTTAAACAATTTCAAACGTTTCAAATAATACAAAAGATTTAAAAGTAATACCTTGTAAGTAATTATATATCGAGAAACTATGGTTACACTCGTTGAATTTGACACTTTATATCAGTTTAATAATATATTTTCGTACTTTTATCTTCAGGCGTAAAAGTGCTTTACTTTTATGCCTATTGGCGTTAAAATGACTTTTTTATATTGTCAATCACGTCGCGTCGTAGCAAAAATTAATATTTTTGTGACGTTTGAAAAAAAAAGAGATTTGGTATGTTAGTATATGACATAAATTAGGATTGATTGACGTGTTCAATTGTTTTTGGTGACTTCCTGTTTCACCGGAAATGACTAGAGCTTTTGATTTTTAAATGATACCCTCCATATTTTTTTATTTTATTCGATAGAAAGTGACACTCCGAATATAATGACATATCATATGTCAAGTGTTGACATTTTGGTATGTGGTTTATTTGAAAGAGTAACATGCGATTCATAACGACAATTTGACTCGAAAAACCAAGTGTGTGGTATCAAATTATTCGTAAAAAATGCTTTTTCCAAATATGTATGCTAATGAGCCACCCTCGTTCCATTTGAAAAAATTGAGATATGATTAAAAATACGATTTGGGCATCTTTTAACTGGCCAGGACAAGACCCGAAAAACATTAGACGAACAAAATTATTTTTCCAAGGTCCCTTAATTAAAAATTAATGTTTTTAACACAGCCATAGTACACTAGATTGAAATTTAAAATACAATTTTTTTAAACAAAAATGTCAAAAGTTGACATATTTATGATATGTCATTCTATTCAAAGTACGATTTTCTATCAAATCAAGTAGAAATATACCGAGCGTGCTATTTTCAGTTTTCAATATGCCGAACTTATGATTTAACCAATGGTGATTCAAGATCATGTTTTTGTTAATTTTAAACATGTTTTATTTTTTATCTCGAAAACTAGTATTAGAGATTGGTAAAGGTATATTAGAAAAATTATCAGAAATGAAAGTAATACTATACCAGGTGTTCCGTTTAAAATAACAAAGAAGCTCCCGCTTTTAATATGAAGCGGCAACACTGTAATGCAGAAAATAATTTAGACAAATGCGCCTTGCAAAAATCCAAATTTAAAAAAAAATCTACCGGTTCTACATAAACGTCTACATATGTACCATGGCCGTACCATCGAATCAACCTGTATAACATTTCAGATTCCTCTTTATGTAAAAAGATCAGACAATAAATTAGATTTTTCTCTAAACTAGTTAAAACTAATAAAGTTAATTTAACTTTATTAGTTTAATTCTTAATTAAATACTTTATTATGAAATTAATTAAGGAATGAATGCTTTTTTTTTCTTATAGACATAAATTATGATTTGCTATAATTTTTTTGGGTAGGACTGTGCGTCACTAGTGCTGGAGACGCCTGGTACTATCTTTTCTTTATCAAATAAGGTCGAAGATTTTAACCTTTCTTTACTATAAAAGAAATCGAGAATATTTTCTTCATATTATATATAAATTACAGGAAATAAAACACAGCGAAACCTCTAGATGGTATTATTTTTAAACCATTGTCGTAAATACACATCTACATGAATATTGCTAGGTACTACATCATTTTTCACTGGAATCTACTCACCGGCAAAAAAAAAACCGGCCACTAAATACTAGTCCCAATTTTAGAGTTGGATTTCTCCAAACCACGCATTAGATTTTGATGATTTTTTTTAAATTGTAAATTATTTCCTTCTTAACGGATGCTACGTCAGAAATTTTTATTCCGAATTTATTTTGAGGATATACAGGGCACAACAATAAGTTTTTTGCTCGAACTTTGTGACACCCTGTAGAGTGCAGCAGCTGTAGCAACTATTGCTAAAACAAATCACATTGTAGCCCCATCTCACAAATCACATTTGTGAGCATTTTGTTTTTTTTTAAATCACGACATTATGTCTGTTTGTATTGGAGATACGTTGCTTTAAAACGAACGTCTCGGAAAAATGCTTTGCAGGCAAAACCGCGACCAAACCAATTCACATGTAAACGCGCAAACTTAAGACGTGCTCGACGATGTCTTGGAAGTAGCTGGGATCCTGTGGCAGGCCTCCTTGCAGACAAGCTGTTTTCTTTTAGTCTTCGCTGGATTGTTCTCTCACTGACTTGAGTTCGCATGCACGGCTTGTGATCAGATGTTGATTCTGAAACGCTGTAATTTTACGATTTCGTAAAGTATTCAGGATAATAAAGCGGTCGTCAGTTGCATTTGTCTTCTGTTTTCTTCCGGAACCCACTCGCCTGGTGAAATTTCCCGTTTCCATATACCGATTCCAGGCATATCCTGGACTGTTCGAGGTATGCGCCCAGGGTATCGGACACATTACGTTGACTTCGGCCATCCTCAATTAAAGTCACAAGTCACAACACGAGCAACATCAGTCACAGATAATAGCATTTTTTAGTTTGACAACCGTTGTTGTCATATTGCAAATACTCATAAATCCGTTTTCGCCTATGTCGTCTTGAACATAAAACTTTCTGCCTGCGAAGCATTTTTCCGAGACGTTCGTTTTAAAGCAGAGTATCTCCAATAAAAAGAGAGATAATGTCGTGATTAAAAAAAAACAAAATGTTCAAAAAAGATGAGGCTACAATGTGATTTGATTTAGCAATAGCTACTACAGCTGCTGCACCCTAGAGGGTGTTACAAAGTTCGGGCAAAAAACTTCGTCTTATTGTTGTGCCCTGTATATGCTCAAAATAAATTCGGAATACAAATTTCTGACGTAGCATCCGTTAAGAAGGAATTAATTTACAATTAAAATCATCAAAATCTAATGAGTGGTTCGCGAGAAATCCAACTTTGAAATTGGGACGGAGCCGGAGTTTATTTTAACGCATCTCTTATTATAATTATTTAATTAATATAATTGTTATAAGTTGGTGTTATTTAATTATTATTATAAGATAAGCTATTTTTTTTACTTTATTAGATAGAAAATGGCACTTCGAATAGAATGACATATCATATGTCAACTTTTGACATTTTCGCATATGGTTTATTTGAAATTGTAACATGCGGTTCATATAACGACAATTTGACTCGAAATGCCAAGTGTGTGGTACTAAATTAATCGTAAAAAAATGCTTTTCCAAATATGCTAATGAACCACCCCTGTTCCATTTGAAAAAATTGAGATATGATTAAAAATACGATTAGGGCATTTTATAATCGGCCAGGACAAGACACTAAAAGTATTAGACGATCAAATCTATTTTTCCAAGTCCCCTTGATTAAAAATTAGTGTTTTTAACACAGCCATGGCACTCTAGATTGAAATTTAAAATACAATTTGTTTTTGAATATGGCATTCGATTCAATTTCATTTTCTATCGAATAAAGTGAAAAAGTACCGAGGGTGTCATTTAAAAATCAATAGTTGTAGTCATTTCCGGTGAAACAGGAAGTGACAGAAAACAATTGAATACGTCAATCAATCCTAATTTATGCCATATACCAACATACCAAATCTCGTTTTTTTTTATCTGAAAAAATGAAAAAGTTATAGGGGTGAGCCACTTTTGAGACGCATTCGGTATGAGGACTCCTCCATAGTTTAAATTGACCGAAAAATATTCGCTAACGCTCTGTATATGAAAAACAACAATAATTATTATGTTACCTATATTTTCCAATGCATGTTCGTCTTCCAAAATCGGGTTCAAGTGAAGTGAAGGTGCCATAATTGAAGTGAATTAACAAGCTAAATCACAAAATCTCAAGGCTCGGGCCTTTTCAACAAAAACGACCACACGAACTTTGTATGAAAGAAGATTTTGTAAAAATACTCTTGATAAAAATAAACTTCCATTAAATAAATTAGTTGAGCGCAGCTTTCCAAAAGCTTTCTGGTTCCCGAACCGAAATTTATGTTTAATTTCTATGTTATCTAAACTAAACCCCAAACACCTTGAACGAGATGTAGCGATAAACTAAGATACGCACCGGTGAAAATTCTTTTTATTATATAGACTTGGATTTAACCCAACACGAACTGAATGAGAAAGAGGGAGACAGGTATTTTTAAACATATAAAGCAATAATAGCAACATAAATATCATCGTTAAGAGATTAGGTATAAATAAAAAGTAAACGTAAAGAATCACACAGTAACTTAGTGATACGCATTGCCTTTTTACATACAGGGTGTTTCGAAAAACATGTGCCATCTCTCGTACCAAACATAGGTCCGATTCTGCTTTGTTTTGTATCAACAGGGCGTTAAAAAAAATATATAATTTTCTACAAAGTGTTTTTAGCAATTCGAATTAAATTTTGAGGGTAAAAGTTATTATAAGTGCGATATATTTTAATGCTAAAAAAGTGTCCACAGATTCACCAGGGACGTGGATATGGGTTATCACTGGAATATTTTTCTAAAAAAAAAACATGTGCGCCACAGGCTTTTTTTTTTCTTGCTAGCAAAATCGTGTAGGCCGTTTAATGCCGTTTAAGTTGTCCCTCAAAATGTCATTCAAATCGCTAAAAGCACTTGGCAGTAAATATACAGGGCGTCCCAGAAATAAGTGCAAGTATTTTAACTGGTAGTATAGTTCAACCACAGAAACACACGCCTATGAGTTTTTTTTGACAAAAAAAAATTTGGAAAATTTGAATTTTTTTAGTTTTTAGTTAAAAAACATAATTTCTTGATAATATGGCAGCATAGGTATTATATTAAATTTACAAGAAAGAAAATCCAGAAAAAATCCAGTGGTTCTCATAATTTTAGCAAAAAATCATTTTTTTGGAAATTTTCAAAGTAAAATAACTCCGTTAATTTGGACTTATTTCAAAAACGATAAAAAAAAGATGTTTCTTTTATCGAAATCTACCATCCCTTAAAATACTTGCACTTATTCCTGGACATCCTGTATAGTAAATCGGAAAAAATGTACAAAAAAGACCTCCTGTAGATACAAAACAAAGCAGAATCGGACATGTGTTGATATATAATAAATAAATCTTATTTTAACATGAGGCATCACCCTACGAGAGATGGCACATGTTTTTTGAAATACCCTGTATAAATAAATGACCTTTCTTAATTTAAATATTTGTGTATGTAGGTATGCAAATAAAAACTATTTGTCTAAGTTAATTTGATTTCAAAATATTACATGTTTAACATTACATATTTTTTTTACTTATACAGGGCGTCCCATTTTGATTTACCACCTCCAATTAAAAATACAGAGTGTATATATATATATATATATATATATGTATATATATATATATATATATATATATATATATATATATATATATATATATATATATATATATATATATATATATATATATATAAGTGAAAATGCTGGTAGATATATCTATTTAAAAAAATAAAATACAGGGTGTTCCATTTAAAAAAAAAACGAAGAAAAAATATTTCATATTTAGAATGTTTGGCCTAGAATTTTGAACATCCTGTATGATTTAAAATTACGATATTCATAGCAAAGTAAGCACAAACCATCTAAAGTAAACACCTAATATAGTTTTGATTTCAGGACAGTTCTTGTATTTTTAATATATTTTTTTAAAAAAAGGCTGTAAAAAGTATCTATATTTTATTTATCTATTAAAACCTCTAAAACCATCGAAATATATTTCTTATAAATATATTATTTACTCATATCTTAAAATTATGTAAAGTCATCAAAAAGGAAGCCAAAAATGCAATAATATATAGGGTGTTCCATTTAAAAAAAAATCATCCCGATCCACCCACTTTTTTGCCAAATATTTCCCTGAATTGATCCATCCAAATATTTTCCTGACATCCTAATACATATTTTAGGTTTGTACTTAAACAAAATTCCCATGTTTTTTATTCTAGGAGCTACACATGCTCGACGCACTATTGCCGCACCCTGTATATGATTCAAGTATAGCCACAAGTACAAAATAAAAAATTTAACTGAAGACAATACATATAGCAGTACCCCGTTAAGTATAGGCGTTAAGTACATACTTTTAAGTGGATTGGTAGACGTAGAAGATGGGCGGCTACCAAACATATTAAGATCCAAATTAATAATCAATCAGTCTTAAACACTTTAAAAACACAATAAAGTTCAACTGGTGATTTGAATAAAATAAGTCACTAGTCACATATTTTCGCATAGACTAATCACATAGAATTCAGCAATAATCACGCATCACACCGGTGCTAAATACTAAATACCGTCTAAAGTCATTCCACTTTAGATAAAATGGAAGATTTTTTGTTGTTGTTAATTTTAATCATCTCAGATTTAAGAGCTTGCTTATCAGATATTGTACTATTATGATAAAGATATAAACTTGCAATTATTCACATGCAATGTAAATAAAAAGGGATATGACATCGGAAAATAACAAATATTTTTAATATAATACGAGAGCGATAGACAAAGATGAATAATCAAACTGCAGTGTTTCTAGAACTGATCCTATTTTTACTTGTTACAAAAAGATAAAAAAAAATTGTATAAACATAAACAAACGTTTCTAAATTAGACAATTCTCTAAAATGGGACATGCATATCGACGCCTAGTCGAAAAAATTAAGCTCTGCCTGTTTTGCATTAAGATCTGTTTCTAAGGAGTTTAACTAGTCAGTGGCTAGAACTGTTTATTATGCACTTTTTGAGTCGCACCTCAGATATGCCCTTCCATCCCAATTTGACCGCATTTTGAAGCTCTAGGAGAGAGCTGTTCGATATTCTCTGCTTAGGGAGGGATTGAGGGACTAAACAGCAGAGCTCATTGCCAGGACTTTTTTAAAAAATTAAAAATATTAACTCTTCCTTCCTTATTTATATTTGAATCCGTTTGCCTAATACGTAAGAATGTATCAGCTTCTCAAGAAAGGCTATCTCACACTTATCCACTCAGGAACGCGGAGCAAGATCTTTATCTACCTACCCCACGCTCAGAGTTAGTTAAAAGTCAAATATTATACAACTCGAAAAAAATGCCAAACATCACATGCCATTTGAAATCAAATCCATAACATCATTTTCTTTATTTCGCAAGGCATTGAAATCTTATTAGACAAGGCTTTCTACGTCATAAATGACTTATATTTTGATAATCGAATTTGATCTTGTAAACACTGGTCTAATATTTGCTATTACTATATTTACTATAAGCTTAGTAAATATTTTTGAATCTTATTTATATTTTTTTATTCTTTGACATTCTAAACATTTATAAATGTTTATTTTAAACAATAAGACTAACTATGTAATGTGTATACTTGTTATACTTTGTTTTGTATTCTCTTTTGTTTGTTTACTTTACCTTTGTCCACAAATTGTATTTTTTTTGCCAATAAAGGCATTTATTTATTTGGTTTTGAATAACAAATACTTCAGGCCATTTACTAAAATAATCCATCTTTTGCGTTTCAATGTCAACAGCGATTTTTTCGAATGGAAGTCCAACATTATATTGTTGCATTTTTCCCTCAGATCGAGTGCTTGGTCCATGGCTGGCTGCACAAATTTTACATTGTCAACACCATTTCTTGACATCTTCGCTATAATCTACCCAGTAAAAATGATCTCTTAATCAGCAATCCTCATTCAATTACCTCATTCTCAATAACCATTGAATTCGATTGAGTATTACTACGATGTCTAGATCTTCTTTTTGGTCTTTCTTCAATTGTGTCGTCGTCCACTGTTCGTCAGCTCCAAGGTTAAAACTCCTGGTCATGACAGTGCCTTCACGTTGCCCCAATTTTTAGCAGTGCTTACAATCGGTTTTACACGGTCTTTTGGATAAACTGTCTGCGTTGCCATGCATTTTTCCAGAATGATGTTGGGTGACAAAATGATATTGTTGTAGCTTCTCTAGCTATCGTGCTATTTCACAACACATTAGGCTGTTTCATTTCTATAAGCTACTTCAGAGCCGCATGATCTGTTCTAATTAAGAGTTCTTGACCATACCTTCCTTTCTGGTTTGGCTAGGAAGATAACTCAACTGTAATATTTTATCACCCGTTCTTTGCCATCTTGAACTTATGATAGCACTGTAATAGGTAATTTGTGGTACTGTCCTTATGATGATAGCACTATCCAGGATATACTTCCCTTGTAGGCTAAATTAAGGACTTGAACATAGAGCTGCCTTAAGTCTTCCAAAGGCAACATCGCTTCTTGCAGCCCTACTTGCCTTATTTTTGTCTCACCCTAAATCAAAACCTAGCTACCTCCAAAATGCGGTGTAACCAAAACTTCAAACTATTTCTTAAGATAATAATTTCATAAATAATATTACTTTATAGTATATAAATTAAATTATTTATTTTATTAATACTTTAAAATTATTTTCTCGAGAGTTCTTTTGCTCTGAAACTAAACCTTAGCGACATTTAGCCAAGCCTGTTTAGTGTATATTTGTTTACCATCTCGTTTTATAAGACAGTCAAGTACAATTTCCGTAAGTGCTTCAGACCTAATTATACTGTTAAAAAAGTACGGCAACGTGAATCGATGTCTTTCACGCATGTTATACGTGCATTGGCAAATAAATATATATATATTTTTTAAATCCAGCCAATCGAAATATTCCACTCTATAAAAAAATGTATTAGAATTCGTGATCCACTGAATGTGATTATTTAATGCGACAGATTAAAAATTACCATTCCAGAATTCGGTAAAATAAATTATTTCATATCATACAAAAAATTGTCAATGTTTGAAAAACTAATAAAAACCATTTTGAAATGTATCTATTAAATAAAAAGCATGCCAAGATAAAAGATAAAAGTTTTTACTAGAGTTTGTAGAGTTACTGACATATACAGGGTGAGTCTTAAATAAGTGCAAATATGTTTCCGTTACGTTTTTTGGAATCTGAATGTATATCAACAATTATTAGCATTAACCAGTTCCTTTTTCTATCCCATTGTACAGAGTGGTCGTTTAATT